CCGGGCGGCCCTGGCCCACCCGCCCGCCGCCATGGCCGATTCCCCTTTCCGCCGGCCCCGCACTTGGTGGCAGTCGGCCCAAAACAGCCCCCGGGAGACCATCCGGCTTGACTTGGAGGCCGCCTTTTACTTCACCCACTTGATCCTGGTGTTCAAGTCGCCGCGGCCCGCCGCCATGGTGCTGGAGCGGTCGCAGGACTTCGGGAAGACCTGGAGGCCCTACAAGTATTTCGCCGCTAACTGCTCTGCAACCTTCGGGCTGGAGGACGACGTGATGCGGAAAGGAGCCGTCTGCACTTCTAGATACTCGAGTCCCTTCCCCTGCACTGGAGGAGAGGTAGGTCCACCGGGACTGGGAAGACAGGGAGCCGAGAAAGCTGAGCCCGCGATTCAGCCTCCTTTATAACTTTAATCCTTGCTTTACATCTCTTATTTTACGGTGCCAGCCTCCCTTGCCATCCAATCTATTTCCCTAAGAAACGTCGGCGCTTGTCCTGCCCCTTCCTGCTTTTGCCAGCTTCTGGGAGCTCGTAATCCCATCCTCTTTTCCCGAAAACTTCTTCTCCCATCATCTGGTGAAAAACAACAAGGAGTTTGGGGGGCAGAGAAATGGCACAACTGCTAAAGACACAGATTTGGGTCCTCAGGAAAGACCAAGAAAACCTTGCTCTCGACTGTCTTTTCCAGTTGCTGTAATTGTGGGGTTTTGTGGTAATACAGGTCCATTTAACTTCGACCAAAAATGTAACTGTTTTAAAATTAAAGGCCCCCAAATTCACTTCAACTAGAGATGACCATCACTAAGAAGTAAGAACGCAACCAGCCAAAAAAGCTATTGGCTACGTTGGTACATAGTTCTTCCTAACCAGGTTAATGAGATCGTTAAGGAACCTTATACTTCATCTTTTTTGTCTTTCACACTTATCCTTGAAAAGAATGTGCAAAATGAAGAAAAAAACATATTTACTATGAGGGAAAGTATAAATCTGTGTGAAAAATCAGATTATTTTCAGTATCAGAAACAGTAGGAAATAAGTTATGTATTTGGAGGTCTTACAAATAACATTCTTTCCTTACTTGCCTGAAGCGGCCTGCCCCCCAGTGCCAGAGACCCTCTCCGGGGAGCCATGGCCCTGGGGTTGCCCTCTGGTGTCGGGGATCCCCACTGGTGGTGAGGCATCTCCAGTGACCAGCTCTGGATGTTAAAGGCTGCTCCCTCTAGTGGCCTATTTTAATGAACTTTAGCAGAAAGTTAAATCAAAATTTCCCTCTGATGTAATGCAGAAATGGGCAGGTTTAACTGGTGAATTAAGCTCAGCTCTTTACTTTTAGTCCCTGCTGATTGCTTGCTTTGAGGTGAAGGTCCTGTTCTTGGGGACTGATATTCATGTCCCAGGAAAGTCACCTGTTTAAACCTCTTTGTGCCTTCCCACCATCAGCCTGTCATTTGGAGTCACCCTTATCTGTGATTTGGTTAGGAAGCCACTCGCTGCAGACATAGCTGTTCACCAAAGGATTGCATCTCTTGGAGGAAGAGTCACAGGAAGGCAGCCAACGTCCTGCTTTAGGAGAAGCTGGCCTGTGCCCCTGTCAGCTCAAACAGGGATCTCCAGATTTGTCAGACAGGTCCAGGATCGTTGTTTCATTAGCACAGCAAAGGGTTTAAATAAGGTGGTTGGCAGGAGGAAGTAGTATCTTCTCCTCTCCTCCACTCTGTCCTCTCATGACCCGGAAAAGCAGACTAAACTTTCCTTCACAGTGAAATCAGGTCCTCCTAAAACCTGGGTCCTACAAAAAGGCTAAAGGACATGTCCCAGTGGAAATATTGGGCATTTCCAACCTCAGCATTTCCACCAGCCCCTGTCTCCCACTGCCTAAATCATAAGGCTGTACCAATCTTTGATTCAGTGCAGGGACTGAAATTTATAGCTCTCAGCGGCAGTGAATTGCTCCTTTTTTTTTTTTCTTTTGGCCTGCTGGGGCAAGATGTGTTTGGGGTACTCTGACTTGCACACTCCTTTTTCGGCTTTCCCAGGGATCATGCTTAAAGATGAGACTCCAGAGCATAAGTCAGGGCAGTGTCTGCCTTTTTTTCTGTTAGGTCCCGTATAGTTAGCACCCTGATGCAGTTTTCACTGAAATCATCCCTGAGCAGTATGTGCAGACCAGGATGAGGGCTGTGTCTGGCAAGAACCTGTGCAAATACCGTCCTGGGGCTGACTCGTATACAGGTTGGTGCTATGTGTGGGGACAGTGGGATTGAGACTCTTTTTTGTAGAAACCAGTGCTTATTTCAAGAAGGAAAGGGGTTTGGTATTGCATCTGCAGCAGTGTGCTGCAAAATAGGCTCTTTACAGAGCTTGCTCCTGCAGGATCCCTTCTTTTGGCTTCGCTTTAGTTTGCGTTATTGCAAGGAGCCATAAAAGTCAAGATCATTTAATTATTCCAGGCTTTAAACAAATGTCAAGTACAAGGGGCTGGAGCTTATAGGATTTTATGCATATGGCACACTTCAGTTACCTCAACTTAAAAACCACTTGTATTTACCTGCAAAGTAGTAACAGCAACTTTCTGGTGACCAGATGGCGAGCATGCATGCTTAGCAAATATCACATTTAATTTATTACAGTGTGCTACATTCCAGCAATTACTTGTAACTGCCAATAGCAACATGTATCTCACCTAAAGAAACATCAGAGTTTTGTGTTCTGTTTGGAGTTATGCCGTGCTTTACTCCCACTTCTGGTAGCACCTAATTTCAGACATATGGAAACAGTAATTTCACTTGGAACAGTGGTTTCAAATATGCAGTCATTTCAAAGTATCCGCATCTGAAGGGTATTATTTAATTGCAGCTCAGTTGCCACAGTTTTCTTTAAGGCTAACATAATTTCTACAAGTGCTACTGTTTTTTTTTTTTAACTTTTTAATTTTTTTTTTCTATGAAGTAGCAAGTATAACCTGTGCTCCAAACTGTGTGTTACACCTTCTATATGCCACTCTCTCCCACTGCAAACGTTGCAACACCACATGGGCATTTCCAGGCGCAGAGTCAGATGTCGTGGAGATTTTGAACGGCAGGTTTCTGCGCGCTGCTGGCAATTGGGCTCCGGGCACCCAGGACCGCGGATGAGCCATTTGAAAAGCTCACGGGAGGCCTCAGGAGGTGGCTGCTCACCCCTAATGGCACCAGGGCCCAGAAGGCACCTGTGAATATTTGGGCTGCCGATTCCTTGTTTTCCCCCTCTGCAAAGGGAAGGCAGTGCCCAGGGGCCCGTGTTTCTGCTGGGCGTCAGGGCTGGCAGCGAGCCCCGTTCAAAGGCAGCAGCGTGCGGAAGCTGCTAGTGCACAGGGGTCTGTGGCCTCTTTTTAACAAGTCCTATGTGTTAATCTGGATCAGATGAGCATCTGCTTCACTTTTTATTGTTTGCTTTTTTAAGAAAAGAAAAAAACGGTCTTTTTGCGTTTCTTTTGCCCTTATTATCATGAGTCATTCCTTAGATGCCTCGTCTAATTCTTATGACAAAAACCCTCCCTCATTACAACTTTGCCATGACGTGGATTTTGAAGAGATTTATGATGCCGTCAAAAGCAAGATGCCAAGCCTCTAGGTTCATTTTTAAAGACCCAGAGCTCAGTGTTTGTGGGGAAACGAGATGTCAAATTAGCTCCAGCAGCTGCTTTTCATCTCTTTTCTTTAATAGACCAGCTCTGTGTTTTCCTTTTTGGTGCTAACACTGGCAGCTGAGCTAGAAGATGTTGACAAAAAGTGATCTGTTTGGGACCTGCCACCTAAGAAAAGGGGGCTACATCTCAGCTGGTGTTCATTTTTCCCCACCTCAGCCCCTCATTTTAGCAACACAGGGTCTCTACAGGGACTCTGCAGGTCT